TATCCATCTATCTATATCTACATATATATAATATTATTATAAAAATGAAACAAAAAGACAAGCTAAAAGTGTAAGTCTAATCCACCGCCTCTGTTCTTTCTTTCTTTTTTTTTAAAGAGAGAGGGAGAGAGGGAGAGAGGGAGAGAGAGAGAGAGAATTTTAATATTTATTTTTTAGCTATCGGCGGACACAACATCTTTGTATGTGGTAATGAGGATGGAACCCGGGCCGCACGCATGCCAGGTGAGCGCGCTATCGCTTGAGACACATCCCCAGCCCCCCTGTTCTTTCTTTTAGTAAATCATCACAGGGCTCATCTATGAGGGTTCTGTGTTTGGGATTGGGGTCTCTGATAAACTTCATGATTGTGGCATGCTTGCTAGGTAGAAAGTTTCTCTGCAAAGGCACAGAAAGCCTGGCTGCTAGGAAGTTTCTCTGTAAAGACACAAAATGCCTGGCTGCTGGAAAATATTTTTGTAAAGCCATGGGATGCCTCTCTGCTGTAGCAATGTCCCTTATGAAGAAGCTCTGTGTTAGAATCTTCTCAGTCTCAACCTTGATTTTAGGCATATAATTCCTGGGAATAAAGGAACTTGCTTGCTGGGATAACTACAATGTTTCAATAAGCTCCCTTGTTCCTGGATCTGCCCGCTTAAAAGTTACTTTAGTCAATGAATTTCTTGAGAGCTGCACAAAGCTCCTGACTTTGCATATTGTAACTGTGGAATATAACTGCAGAATAAACAATGTTACTGGTACTCTAAGCAATAAAAATGTAATTATGGTCCTAATTACCTAATGTAACCTATCAGTGTAAATAAACATTGTCACTTGGAAAAAAAAGCCATTTTTCTTCCTGCCTCTACATCTTGTTTCTGTGTCCTCTTATTATTTTTCCTAATACTCATTAAGGGTAAATATTTTGTAGGTATATTTACAATTTCTATGGTTTTTAAAATTCAAAAACATGCCATAGAAAATTCCCAACCCCAGATATTATTGTAAAGCAAATTCACTTTGGACTGGAAATCAACTTCTTTTAGTCTGATGAAACAGAACATCCACACACCCTGGGTACATGAGACAGGTTTATTACTTATGGACAGGGAGCAAGGGCATGCAGAAGCTTTGGATTCATTCCAAGCTTGTCCCTGGCAGTCATGAAGGCTCCACACAGAGGATTCAGTTTCATCCAAGTATGCTCCACTTACACCAAAGCTGAAGGACCCCAGGAAGATGTCCACCTTGGGTTTTATGCCCTAGAACCACAACACTCTCTAAATCATTAAAGGACATACTGATTCTAGGAAAACTGGAATAGAAGTTATGTTGTTCCACTTAGTTTCTTCCTGGCTTATGGTGTTACCTTCTCAGTATATTTTGCAGTTGTCCTGAGAACTACAAGGGATAATGTGGGACTGTGAACAGGGTTGTTCCAAGACGACTTGGAGAATGCTCTTGCAGTCACTCCTGAGGTTACATTGGGTTAACTGGGGTTTAAAGATGATGCTAAGACTGCTGATTGGCAGATCATAGAGGGGGAAATATTTTTCTCTTATACACTGGCATACACACTGGTATCTGAATGTCCTACTCTATTTACATGGGCCCTTAAAGCAGAATACAGAGATGCAGCAGAGGACACAGTCAGAGATATAAGGTATGAGAGGTTCTTTTTACATTACTGCTGGAATTGAAGACAGTAAGTATGTGAGCCAATGACACTATTAAACAAAAGGAAAGTTTTAATTGATTAATTTACTATTGTTATTACTGGTAGCAAGGATTGACCCAGGAGCTGTTCACTACTGAACCACATCTGCAGGCCTTTTTATTTGTAGACAGGCTCTAGCTAAGTTGCTTAGTGCTTCACTTATTTTCTGAGACTAGTCTTAAACTTTCATCCTTCTAGCTCAGCCTCCCAAGCCACTGGGATTATAGGCATGCACCACTCTGTCCAGCCAAAGGTATTTATTATTAAATGATACTAAAAATTGTACATATTCATAGGGTATCACACAATATTTGAATACAATGTGCACATTAGCAATCTTCAAATCAGGTTAGGCATACTTGTCTCTCAAATAGCTACCATGTCTTAGGGCAAAACTTCTCAAAATAATTTCCCAGATGTTTTAAAATATAGAATATATGATGATAAATGAGAGAAAAAAGTTTCTACTGTACATTTTCAGAAAACATTGAAATTTATTGTTTACTTTTTAAAAAGACTTAAATAACTACCAACATATATAAAAAGCTGATTCTGAATGGTTTTATGATGTAAATTTTTAAGTTATTAATTGATGTCCTTGAAGAAAATGAAGGGAACCACCTCCCTATGCATATATGTCTTAGTATATGCATCTATGTTTAACAGAACCTATGTTATTAACATTAAATAAAGACATATAAAAGTATTTCTATTAAAATAAGAGCTTCTACTTGGTTGAATCTCATACAAACATTTGATAAACTCAGTCAGTATATTCTAAAGCCAAGGAGATGTAAACCTTTAATCAATGAATCAATCACCTTTACACACATAACAGCAGAAACTCTTACAATTATCATTAAAAACACACTGTGAAACTATAGGTGAGTCCTCATCATGATACTTCAAACTAAAAAATGACCATGTCATGTTATCTTTTTCTGTTGCAATAACCAAATACCCAAGACTGAGTACTTGACAAAGAAATTTAGTGGCCTACAGTTCTGGAGATGCCAGAGTATGGTGCCAGCATCTGCTCAACTCTTTGAGGAATTAAGAGTAGGTGAAATCACAATAGTGGGAGCACATACAGAATAGACCACAGGACAGGACAGGGAGCGAGAGAGCAGAGACACCAGAACACTCTGTAAGACAGCCCAATTTCATGGGAACTGATATACTCCAGACATTACCATTTATCCCTTTAAGCATGACCTCTCAATGACCCAGCCACCTTGTACTTACATCCACACATCAAATTTTCCACCTCCTCCAAAACCTTCACACTGGGTGCAAAGCTTCCAGCACATGGAACATTTTTTTTTTTTTTTGAGGGGGGAGGACTTATGTGTCCAGAGAGGAAGGCATGAAGTAATTAATATTCCTGCAGTTGAATTCTATTACCAACCAAATATGAAAATACAAACTACAATTAAAATACAATTTTCTAAGTCAAATATAAAAGAGTTGAAGCTGATCATTTTCATTTATAGAAAGTACAAAAAATGAAAGTGATCTATGGTATTTAATGTCACATACTGGTCCCTGTTGAATATGATTATGGTAGAGGCACAAAGAGGAATCTTTGAGATGGACAAGATTGTATTTTGATGTAGAAGAAGCTGAAGGCAAAAGTGTATATACTTTATAAAATTTTACTTAGTAATTTATGACTGATTTGTACATAAAGCTGCTTTGATGGTTTATTGGTGATTTAAAAATCATTTGTAACAATAAAAAATTACACCTAATGTATATTATCAAGGTGGACATGAAATATATGAAACAGAGCAGGGGTTTTTAGTGGACAATTGCTTCCCATTCTGTCCATTTCTATATTGTAGGGATTCTGATCTTGGAAATATTATAGAGGAACATTCCTCTGGTGAGCAAACTCCTCGGGAGTAACAAACACTATTTTACTACCCTTAGAATGTCCTGCAGTTTTTTTTACTAGGAACTAGTAAGATAACGAATACATGTGAACCATCTAGCTGTAATGGCAATGCCCTGCTCTGTTCTATAGTCTTATCAGCCTTGACTTTGATCTCAGGCACATAGCTCCTGTGAATAAAGGAACTTGCTTGCTAGATAACCACAATGTTTCACTGAGCTCTGCTGATCCTGGATCTTCCCATCTAACAGTAACTTCAGACAATGGACTTTCTTGAGAGCTGCACAAAGCTCCTAACATTGCATATTGTAACTGTAGAATATAACTGCAGAATAAGCCACTTTACTGATACCATAAACTATAATGTAGTTATGGCAGTAATGACCTAATGTAACCTATTGGTATAAATAAATGCAGCTGCTTGGACGAGCAACTACCTTTCTGCTGCATCTTGTCTCTGTTTCTCTTTTTACTTTCCTTATACTGTATTAAAAATAACTAAATTTACCTGCTAAAGGCAAATATCATTGGAGTACATTAACTTGGAAAATTCTTCAAATACACAGAGCTAAGACATAAACATGAAAGTAGACAAATGAAAAATTCTTTCCACATTTTTAACATGACTAATCTATCAGAAAAACAAGAAAATATGAAATTATGTGAAATCAGTTTGAAATAGTTTTAATTAAGTATAAAATTTACATATAATTTTTCAGAATTATTATTGACAGATCATAACAATCAAGATATATGCATGTGTGCATGTTCATGTTCACAAACACATATAAAACCATACACACACATTTATAACATACGAGGGTATGTGTCTAAACCACCACTCACAAATGATATGACAAATTGTACAAAACCTTATAGAGTACATATTTTACATTTTCCTCATAAATTAGAAATTTAAGATTTTTTTTATACATGCAAACTAGCCTGAATGTGCTGGTGTCTTTGATTATTAGCAAAAAGGGGTTGAAAGCTGGGAAGCACCCAGAGATTATTGCAGCCAAAATTATCAGGAACAATTTGGGATTATTTAAGATACTGGAAAGTGTATAAAAATACAAAAGAGCTCACTAGGACAAGAATTGTTTTGTTGTACTCAGGGGAGGACCTGGGCAAACATGCTGCATTCTCTGGTAATGCCTGTGCAGAATGAGCACCATGGAGCTGCTGGCCTAGAGCATGAGCACCCCCGCTTCCACACACACACACACACACACACACACACACACACACACACACAGCATCAGGGAGTGACAGGATTGCTGCAAGCAATGATTCTAGGGCTTTGTCATTAGAGCACCAGAAAATCTACCAAGATCTTGACATTTTTGGAGCTCCCTTTCCCAGTCATGCAAGTAAGAAAGGCATACTTACAAGGAGTTACAGGATCCAGCTCAGGTATAAGGAGGTACCAATGTACTGGGAGTTTTTACTTTAAAGCTCTGCCCATCTGAATTCACTGGGCTGAAGATGGTAGCCTGGAAGACACTTAGAAGGCATATGGTAACAATGGACTCATCACTGCCCATCCTGTTAACATTGAAAAGCAGCTTACATCCAAAATCACCAAGGAAAACTTCCAAACTGAAAAGTGCCCCTGTCTGGGGACTTTCTTTATGCAGGAGATTTAACAAATTGACCACATCAAGTGCTTAAGAATCAAATTTGTAGGCCTTAACCTGCACCCAGTGAAGAAAATAACAGGTAATAGATAAGACAGAAATTGCCCAGAACTCCAACCACAGTCTGTGACAGGAAGATGATTCCTACAGCCTCATCACCGGCTGCCATCCTGCCAGTTCCCAGAGGGTCCTGCAGGGGAATGGGAGTTCTGGGCTATCTGTGTCCTGTCAACCAAAATCCAACATTGCCCTCTCTCAAGTGGGAATTGCAAAATTGAACTTAAGGTTTCATTCTCACTAGCAGGTTTCATGATGCTTTAATTAAGAATTAAACCACAAAATGTGTAAAAATCCCTGCTCTAAATGCAGCACATGGTGATTTTTTAATCTTCTCAACATGAAGCAGGGGCTGAGATTACTTTCATGATTACAAGGAGAATTTGGGTACACAGAGGTTAAGTCTCAAAGTCTTACTCTGATTAGGTGCAGAGAGGGGTTTTGAAATTGTCAGTGTTTAAAGAGAGGGTGCCATGAACCACCATGTTTCCCTAAAGCTAGTAAGTGGAGTTCTTCTATTAATCAAGTTCTGTTTTTTTTTTCTATTTGTTTTTCTATATTCCTCCTATCTTCTAAACTAGTAGTATTTTGGAATTTCTTATTGGAAAAAAAGTTTCCCATTGATTATAAATATTTATTCTACATGTGTAATGGTTAATTTGAATTGTCAGCTTCATCAGATTAAGAGATACCTAGGATTAAGAGGATTATGGGTATGTCTATGTGTCTAGAAATGGTTGGCATGTGGGATAGCCAACTGAAATGGAGACCCTCCCTAAGAATGGGCTGCACCAAATATGATGATGACTTGGATGGAATAAAAGTTGGAAGAACAAGGAAGCAGCAGCAGATGCATGGTTGACTTTTTCTTGAATGGGTTCTTGATTGCTGCTACCATCATCTGAGGATATCAGACTCTTGCTTCTTTACTCTTCCAAAGGTGATTCTCCAGAAACCTTTGGTTTCAAACTAGAGTAGCACTGCTAATCTCTCTTGTTCAGGCCCAGGCTTCAACCTCTTGGACTTTGCATCTACTGATTCTTCCTTCCAGCTGTCTGACCTGCAGATGGCCATTGTTGACTATCCACCTTCCAGTAATATAAGCCAATCTTATAAATTATCCTTTTATAATTGTACTTCCTGTTGATTCTGTTCTTCTAGAGAACCCTGACTAATACAATATGCAATGTCAATTATATAAAGGAACATTTAAATATTTTAATAACTGCAAATGCATTGAGTTGGAACTATAGCTCTGAGGTACATGTCCCATGGTGAGTTATGTGCAATGAGACAGGACTGGTTCCACATCTGTAGAGCTACACCCTGACTCATTTATTGTGTGTTAGGAAAACAAGTGCTATCACAGTAATTGTGCCACATTCCCAGGTTATATCCTCAGCTTTGGAACATAAAACATGAAAGACTGTATGGCAGAAGCAAATATTCACTGATTTAAGAAGATAAAAATGTGAGTTAATTAATACCTAAGTAAATTTGTTTCAAGGAAGCAAGGTTAGTGAATGATATTTATAACAGGAGACATTCATGCAAACTGACACATGTGTGGCATTTGAAAGTTGAAATACTAGGATTTTTTCAGTCATCTGAATCCATATATTTCATAGAATTTGTTGTTTAGAGAAATTTAGGTGATGCTAGTTGTTCACTTTGAAAGTCACTGAATTCATCTGCACAAATATGGGTTAATTAATTGGACTCATTTGCATAATTGGATGTCAATTCATATCATAATTTTGTGAATAAATATGCTCTACCAATATTTACCTCTTACTGACAGGAGGGAGAAACAAAACAATATCCATAAAAAATGTAGAAAAATTCTCACTCACCAATGACAGCAACAGGATAAGATGGTTTGACCTGCTTAAGCCAACATATCTGTAACTCTAAGATGTGCCAGGGCTGCTAACATTAATTCTGCAGCAAGTATGATGGGTGAACACAGTACAAAAACCCTTTCAATTATTATAAATCCCTCCAATCCTGCAAGGACACTATTTACAATATGTCACCTTAACAAATGCTGTGAGATTTATCATACAGGTGAAAACCTGTGGTATAAATGCAGGTATGTTTTGTGTAGTAACAGTAAACTGGTATTAGATTGAAGTGGTACTAAATAAGAACATGGGGAATAGGGGGATTGGGAAATTTGATTGTGCAAATCCTATAATGTAGAGGACACAGACAAAGTTCATTAAGTATCCAGGAAAAGCTCATTGGCATGACTAGGTGAAGGCACACATGGGTAAAAAGCCAAGGAACATAAAGACATAGGGCCCAGAAGGTACAAGATACATGGGGTACATGGTTTCACAGGAATTGAGGTGGTCCTGAGGATGAAGAGTGAACATGAAAAATGTTGAAGCTCACCGGATTGAAAAAATTGTAGAAGATTCAATGCCTCAGAGGCATTCATACATACGTGTGGTGAGAAGTTGTGAATAAAGCTGGGGTATCAGGTCTTGGATTAAGTACTTGTCCAAAACAGGCCCAGAATATGACAAAGAGGTGTATCTAGAGAGACACAATGTTTCTTGGAAGAGACAAATGACAAGAGTATTGGGGGGGGGGGGAGACAAAGTAGGTAGAGAGCTAAGGAGGCCGTGATGGCCCAAAGTGCAAGAGAAACACCAGGAAAAGCAAACTAAAAGATGTACACTTCTAGATATTAAGACTAAGTATGAGTCTTTACAACCATGTGGTATAACTAAAGGACACAAAACAATACCAGTGGAAAAAAGGAAAAGTGTCTTGATTTAAAACCAGGCACACAGGAAAGAAGTGATATAAAGAGGCATGCAACCAGAAGAAAGGTGGAGGATGGTGGGGTTGGTGACAATCAGTTTGGAGTTTGATCTTGGACATTTGGTTGTGTAGGACCCAGGAGCTATGGGGATGGACTGAGGTAATGGAATTGAAAGCAAATAAAAAAGAAGAGAACTGATAATGGGTCTTGGGGTAATGGGAGGAAGAAGGACAGTTCTGAGGTCCCTAGGATAGGCACCACAGAAAAATGAACATTAAATGTCAGGACACAGTTGTGCATGTGAGAGTTGGGATGTGGACTGTCTTCATGGCTGTGAGGGATGGGTGGAAGTTCAGTGTGAAGGCTGCAGCTCAGAATGAAGAACCAAGCATGCTTGAAAATAGGGTATGTGCAGACTCAGTCCTGCTCTGCTGAGGTGTGACCGACAAATACATTTGTACACATACATGGTGTACAACACATGGAGCTTTCATAAGTAGATATTGTAAACTGCTTACCAGAGCCTCTTAATTAACATATCTATCACTTAAGATGTATGTGTGGTGAGGATATTTAAGATCTCACAGCAAATATCAAGTATACAAAAATGTATTATTAACTTCATTCTCCATGTTATACAGCAGATCCCCCAAATTTATCGATGTTAGAATGGAATTTTGTGCACTTTAAACAACCTCCCTGTGTCCCTCACTACCCACCTCTTTACAACCACCATTCCACTCTATTTCTATGAAGTTGATTTATTAGATGTCACATAAGAGAGATCAAACTGTAATCTTGTCTGATTTATGTCACAATACTGTCCTCAGTGTTCACTTACATCAGCACAGGGACAAAATTTACCTATTTAGAAGGCTCAATAACATTCCATTGAACGTTAGTGGACATTCCACATCACCTACACACAGTCATCCACTGGTGGACGCTATGTCTTTCCTTGCTTCTGTCTTGCTTGTTGTGAACAGTACTGCAAGAAACATGGAGATGCAGATGTCTCTGTGAGAGATAAATTATTTTCTTTTAGATGCATTCCAGGGAGGGGGATTGCTGTATCACGTGTAAGTTTTACTCTCAATTTTCCAAGGCACCTTTATGTAGTTTTCCATGGTGGGTGTGTCGATTTACATAATCTCACAAATAACCTGCCCAAGGTTCTCTTTGCTCCATATTACTGCCAATACTTGTTATCTCTGGTATTTTTAATATTAACCCGCCCAAAATAGTGAGGTAATATCTCCTCATATTTTTGAGCATTTTACTGATTAGTGTCACTATGAGCATATTTAATATATCTACTGAGCACTTTGTCTTTTTTGAAAATATATTTACTCAAGTACTTGACCAAATTTTTGAAAACAAATTTTACTGTGCATTTTAAGGTAAACAAAACAATACCATAAGATAGAGTGAAATTGTCACTAGAATTGAACAACAAACTCATTTATCTCTTATCTCAAATAGATACATATATTCCCCCATGTCAAGAACAGTCATGATCTAATCATGCAACAAAACTCCTAACTGGAATACAGTACCTTTAACATAGTCAATATATCATATACAAGATTTTCTGAATTGTTCACCCTGAGTATTTACTATTTGGTGTGTTTTTACCTACAGCCATGGGTAGGTAGATTTTTATATGGATTTCATGTGGAGCCAATTTCTACGAAATTGATGTCTCCAGGAAAGTCAAGTCTTCCCAAGTTTATGTGCCAACTTGACTATTCTCAAAATGTGAATGTTTGAGCAGTACCCTAGGCAGCTCCATATGCCCAGGGAGTCATATGTGACCTGAAGGCAGGAATAAAAAAATGCATAGGGAGAGAAATCTCTAATAGTAGGAATGTTTGAAGAAGCACTCAAATCCCAGAGCTGGGATTAAGCTGTCACAAGACTTTCTATCACAAGAAAGTTTCTCCATGGTTTCTGCCTGGGTATGTTGTCCCCTGTTTGCAGTCTAAACCTACAACCTTATTTCTCCCCCTGCATATGTCTAGTGACTTCCCATTCTCCTGAGTACCAGTATGCTATGTTTATCAGAAATAGTTGTATGAAGCAAATTTAGTCTATGCTGAGGTTGGTCTTTAGGTTTTCTGCAAAGGAATTTCTAGTTCTTTCTTTTCTGGGTTGAGTTCACTGCTGCCTATGCCTTTATGTCCATTTTCATAAAATTTTGAAAGTGTTGACCCTGTTATAGAAATGCATTACCTTCCCATTGGATGTGGTGTGTCTCCCAAGGTTTTTCTATTGGAAGCCTGATGTCCAGTGTTGCAGTGTTAAGAGGTGATGGGGCCCTTATGAGGCAAGGCCTGTTGGAGGTGACAGGCCTTTGAGAAGTTTGCCAATTGAAGTGATCAAGATAATTCTTTTGGGCCCCTGGCTAATTCTGAAAGGGGTGTTATAAAAGACAGAACTTCCCCTAGTCTACTCTTTACCTTCCAAACTCACATGTGATTTCTCTCACATACATTTCTACAATGATGCCAGTCACCCCCTTATGACAGCACAGGGCCACTCAGGAATTGAGCCCATGTGGGTGGCATACTTGTGAGGGCTCAAAACTATGAAATAATGTTCTTCTTTCTGTAAAGTACCCAGTCTCCTGGGTTTTGTCATAGAAGAAGACAACAGGCTAATACACAAGCCTTTCTGCTATATTCAAGTGAGATGAGAAGACTCTTGCCTCTTGAGTAGGAGGTCCCAATTCCATACTCCCTCCATGATTCTGATTTCAGCTTCCTCACATCATATTTTATTTCACTTTGATCTACATTCTTATTCTGTATTTTTAAACAATAAAGTTTGGGGCACAGCTGTCCCAATGTCAATATGAACACACAGAACCTAGACCTTTTACCAATCCTACAAGCACAATCTGGAGATAAGGCAGTGATACATTACAGGGCACAATGACTGTGACATGGTCATAAGAATGCAACAAATTTCCTGGGCACAGTGGTTCACACCTGTAATCCCCACAACTCAGGAGGCTGAGGCAGAAGGATCATGAATTTGAACACAGGCTCAGCAACTCAGTGAGGCCCCAAGAAACTCAGTGAGACACTGTTTAAGTAAAATACAAAATAGAGTTTGGTGTGTTGTTCAGAGGCTAAGTACCCCTGAGTTCAATCTACGGTTAAAAAAAAGGTGGGGGGGGGCAAGTTTAGAGTTGGCTTTAGCTTTAAGTCATGATGATGTATTTCAGAAAAGAATTATCCAGGATGTTGGCAATCAATATTCATCATGGATGAAGCATGGAATGATTAATGAAACCCCTCAATGGCCCATCCATCACTTCTCTTTTGAAGTCTGTACAATTGGCTTTAAGGGCCTCTCTCCATGTAGGTTGAAGACTTCAGGCACAGTATTTTCCTTGGATCTCCAAAACCTTTGATGTGTTGGGTGTTGTTCTTCCCTTGCTGAAGTCTCAAATCCCTCTGCACTAAAATGTTTTCTTAAAGTTGATGTTATCCAAGGCTCTTCATTAGCATAAACCACCTTGAACCAACAGTCCATAACAAAAACAGCAAATTCATTCTCCTATGTTTGCATACATGGGAAATGAAGAGAATTATCTTTGAACAAAGCCCATCATTTTCTTTCAAAAGTAAAAGGACACTAAAAAAAAAAAAATGTTCTTTGTTTGGGCCACTATTGTCCTGGAACATTTAAAATCCTTATGTGCCTTAATGCTGCCATAAAATCACATACAAACCACGCCCCCATCTTTAAAGTACAAGCCATGTGGTTGCTATCATGTTTTGGGGCTGCAGCAGGAATATTTTATGATTGGGGAGTGCCATTCCTGAGAGATGGATTCTATTGGTTTATTGTTTATTCAGCCTTTGAATGTACCACATGTCCAGTTTCTTCGTACAACTTTTTGATATTTTTGGTTGAAAATTAGATCTATAAATATATTAATATGGCAGCCCTTCAGTCTCAGAATGAATTCCTACATCTCCAGGTTTCTGTTTATATTCACTTTTTTTTTGAGGGGTGTACCAGAAATTGAATTCATGGGCACTCAAACTCTGAGCCACATTCCCAACCTTATTTATATTTCATTTAGAGGCAGGGTCTCACGGAGTTGCTTAGCCCCTCACCCTTGCTGAGGCTGGCTTTGAATCATTATCCTCCAGCCTCAGCCTCCCAAGACAATGGGATTTCAGGTATGGTCACTGCACCTGGCTCTATTCATATTCTGAATACCAGAATTACCTCTTTGCTTTATCAACTATTTTTCCCCATGTTACATTTTTAAATGGTTGCAGTATTTCTAACTTTTCTCCAAGAACTGGATGGCAGTTCCTAAAGATTTTGCTTTCTCTATGTGATCATTTCATGAGAGAAGAAAGAAGAAAAGTGCAACTTGACAAATAAAAAAATAACAACAAAGATGTAATTTTAGATTTGTAATAAATATCTTTTTAGATCTAAAATGTCTGTTATCACCATCAGTCCTAGCTGGTGACCTAATGCTGGCTTCACAAAATCTGACTATTAAAAAATTAAGAAACCAACAAAGAAAGCATACAAACACACAAAAGTACCATCTCAAAATCTGTGATGGCTCTCTGACCTTAAAGGTTCATGGGAAGAGAGAGAGGCACTGAAATTGTTTATTCTTATATAGGAGACATACAAGGGAAGATTCCACAAAACATTCTATCCCCCAAATGGCAAAGGAGTAAGATTATAAAGGAACAGATGAGTGCAACTCAACCTCAATGGATAACACCTAATTCTGGAGCCACACCTTGTTTTCCGAGCTAGGGTAATACCCAAATTACTGTGACCTGGCACTACTGTGCCAGACTAAAGACAATATGTTCAGAACCTGGTGCATCAGGACTGAAAGGGATCTTGTATCCAGGGCAGCTCCTGACATATTTCCCTTTTCTTAAAATTAAAAAAAAAAAAGGCAACTGGGAATTTATGTTGTAATCACTAGACTCTTGTTCTGAGAAGACCATGACCTACTCTTGAGATATAAATAAAATTAGTAGAAAACATATCATCTCAATAATATACTATATAGAATGTTTCAGCATATTTAGGATTAAGGTCATTTAATTAGCTTTGGAAGATCCAGGTTATTATGATTACTCTGCCAAAAACTCATCAGAAAATTTTTAATCTTTTCCCAATTTTATTTGGAAGCATTCTGTTTGGCCATAGTAACACAGACATTTTTATTTGGCATAGCATTTAAGCCTTCCCGCAAATCCTAGAGCAGAGGGGTCATTTGCATTACTCATTACAGTGGCTTCTAGAACATTTAACTTAGTTTCAATCCTTCCATTAGCACTTACCTGACTATGAAGGTTCTTGGAAGTAATTTAAGTCAAATTATTAAGAAAATTTACATGTTATAAGTTTTAAAACATAGCCACAGAAGATGTAGTATAGGAACAATGAATATTTTAAGTAGTCACTTCATTGATCATGAGATTAAGAACTTGCCTAGGTCTGGTTAATTGGCATGCACCTGTTTCAAGGCCTGAATTTTAACTTCAGCATGCTAGCTGGCAACAGGACAAAGAGACATTGATGAGGATCAATGTCCTTTTCATCCTACTATAAAAAGTGATACAATTAGGCAAGTTGTACCTTTTATAGGTTACAGATGGTTATTTAACCATCTTTCCAATTCTCACATTTAAGGAGTCTTTTAGTTCTGTCAGTAATGTAAACACTCTGAAGGTAGAAGTCAAACATCAAAACATCCTTTTGAGTGCTGTCTCACTGAAAATTCAGGTTTCTAAGAGTTATGTCATCTTCATGTCATTGTAGGAGACCATTTCTAGACACCTTATGTTATATTGACAATACATAGGCCAAACCTATCCATTTAGAAAATGTGCCAATTTCTATTACAGAATTATTAGGGCAATAATACATTGTTGGATATTTTATGTAAATAACTGGCCTATATAGAAAATTTCTATTTCAACTATCTTTCTATTTTGACAATTATATATATATATATATATATATATATATATATAGAGAGAGAGAGAGAGAGAGAGAGAGAGAGTCTTAATTTGTAAGGATCAGCATAATTGGCTTGTTTAGGGTTATCATATACTGTCTTTTTCTCAAAAGATACTGCCAGACAGCCTGATTACCATAAGATCAACATATAGCTATAACTGACGATTACAATCAGTAAAATTCATATAGTTGCATGCCTAGACTTTCCAGTCTTCACTGCAAGGAACATCAAAGGTGGACCTGAGGGGCTGTGTTTGTGGGTCAGTGGTAGAGCACTTGCTTAGCATGTACAAGGCACTGGGTTCAATTCTTAGCACCACACAAAGATAAATAAAATAAAAGTATTGTGTCCAACTACAATGTGTGTGTGTGTGTGTGTGTGTGTGTATTTTTCTTTGAGGGTGGACTTGAGAAATGGGTCCATGGATGTTTGTTCATAATTTTTACTTACCTGACAAGCCCATGAAGCTGCATGGCTGTAAACTATGCAGCTGGAAATTTATCTTCCTGTGTGAGGTTTTTCAACCTTTCCACAATGACCAGTTTAAACTCTTTTGAAATTTGATTTAACTTACTAATCATGTTCAGAAGAAGTAAGACTCCCAATATCACAATTAAGAAAAATTTAAAAAATATTTTGTAACATCTATTATGTGCCATGGGGTTCTCTTTTCCCATCTTTTTATTTAATAAAAATTGAGTAGAGGCTTGGCATAAGCCATAGTATCATTAGTTTTAAGTTATACAGGCAATGTTTAATGTAGTACAAGTATTTAAATAATAAGAAAAGATTTATTATCTCTAGGTGGTTGTGAAACTTGACAGAAGTTATTTAATGGGAACAAGGTAAATAGAAACTTACCCTTTACTAAATGTATGACTTGATTTTGACTTTAACAGAATTACCAAAAATAAAGAATACAATAAGTTGTATATAAATATTTGCAGGCTGAAATTAGCTCTAGATTAACTTAAATATTTATCTTAATTTGGAAAGAAGCAAGAGACAAGAGATATTAATGTAGTATTGGTGGTCTTTACTAGGGACATGAGAAATATATAGACATCTATCCAAAATAGGAAGTACATATGTTAAAAAAGCCTAGAGAAGATATTTTGTTTATTACAATTAATAAAGAATGAAATAGAGAAATGAACAGTCTTTTATCTATGAATCCATGAAAAACTGGCATTATGGTTATCAACTTAGTGCTGACCTAAGTAGGGGGAATTAGTATCTCAAATGTTAATGGGTAAAAACAAGTCCACAATGTGGTTTAAGACAGTGATCTAATTTAGAATTTATGACATTGAGCTAGCAATAACATTTTTAGGGATCTATTACAAATAATCTTTGTGCATTAAAAAAAAACAGTTGTATGAACACCCTTAATACCTTATTTAATGTAGTAAAATTAGCTAATAATTATGTATAATTATGGTTTTATTAATTTTAAAATATCAATGTATGTAGGACATTGTCAGATATTATTATAGTTGAGAAAAGGTCTATTATGTTAGCTTTTTTATTGAAATATGCTATTGACTATTGAGCTGATTTATTTATGGCTGTTTGTCTAATATTTTAGGCATAATTATTTTCAGACTTTTTTTTTTCCTTTCTTTTTCAGTAATAAACTGTTGCCAGGTGCTTGAAGTAAGGCCCTGTTTTAATGTTAAGGGGGTTTCAAAATCTGTAACTTAGGAGCAAACATTTTACCCAGGAAATTTATTTCTCTTGGAGCTATGACTACCATTTTAATCTCTGCATTTGTCTTTCTGTTTCTTCATTTGGGCTGCATTTAACTATGCTGTAACATCTAAACTTGGCTAGAATTATGTTAACCTTTGTAAATCCCTTGGAATATCTAGGACTAACTGGAGATAAACACATCTTTTCAAATGGGTGGCCCCCTATAAGTTGAAGGTACTGTATTATCTTTTTAAAGTCTCTCTATGAAAAATAGTAAATTTTTCTAAAGACTTACTAAAATTATGATTTTTTAAAAACTCTTTAAAATTTTTTTTTTAGTTGTAGTTGCACACAAAATATTTCTATTTTTATGTGTTGCCGAAGACTGAACCCAGTGCCTCACATGTGTGAGGCAGGCACTCTACCATTGAGCTACAGTCCCAGCCCCTAAAATTATATTTCAGGCATTTTGTTTATCTGTTAGATACCAATCTATCCTGGAGAACTGTCTGCTCCAAACTGTCAGGCTTGTCCCTATTCTGTGTTAGTGGAACATGGTTAAGATAAATCTCCTTTAAAACTGTTTTTAAGATGGCCTTCTTTTCATTGTTTAGCCAAGTACTAGCATATTTCTCTAGGTAAGATTAGACATCTGGCATACATTCTGAAACCCTACAGTACATTTATTTGGACCTTTTAAAAAATCTCTCTCAATTTGTTTTGGTCTATATTAAGTTTTAGAGGTTCCTTCAATCTTTCAATTTTTTAAGCCCTTCTTTGATGATAGTAGTTGAGGCTAGATATGAAAATTAGATACTTTTTATTGATTATTGTAATTTCCCAGAATATAGACTAGCTGATTCATCCTAACAATTTAAGTAGAACCCCCCAATCTCTGAGAGAATGTCTTAAAATATCTCTATATCTCAGAATATTATCCTTTAAGTAGGTGTCATGTACAACATTAATTTGGAGAACACTAATCCTTATAACCTCTTATAATTACTATAGTACCTCTGCAACTTTTCTTAATAAAACAGCTATCAAAAGTTTCTAAGAACCTGGTGAGGGATAAAAATCAGATTTTTTTTTTTTTTTTTTTAAGCTTGAGAACACATTAGG